GGTGCAGCTGCTTGGTGCATGGCGTGGTTATGTAAGTAGTATGCCCTTGATTCCATAGATTTTCATTACTAGAATGAATGATCTCGACCAACATACAGGTAGACACTTGATATACGGCTTAGATAGCCTTTTATAGTATCTTAGACATAGATGCGTTCAATTAAACTTAGTACATTCTGTATTTCTTCTCTTTCCGATATAAGATTATTCTGACATATTGATGTAAGGTTAAATCTCGAAGCCAGCTTCATGACTGTCCACACTAATGGAACATAATCCAACTGCGTAAGATATATGTATAGAGGATATGTTACTCTTCAGCCAGCTAGCATACCTGACACATAACATACTTATCTACATCTAACGTTCCAGAGACGTCAACACGGTAATCAACCCCGTCTAGGCTTTCTTCGCTGGGGAATACCGTCCTATAGCAGCAGTCGAGCATAATAGTTCCTGAGTGCTCAGGGCCACCCAGAGAGCTCTTTACACTTTCAATCTATACAACTTCAATCTATACAAAGAGTGCCCTTCATATAGTAACCAGCACTCTGTTTACCACAGTATGCCTTGACTGCTGAGTATCCCCCGCAACCCAACTTATAGATTAGACATTAATGTAGAGAATATCAGCGTGATTGAACACTGATACCTCATACCTCACAAATAAAAAACTGACAACTCCCCATGTATCAGAGTACCGATAAGCTTTATCATCAATTGCTGGAGTTAGAATCGCTCAGGGCCACTAATTGCATACTCCATAACACAAAGTGTTAGGCAACAGCAATTACCCCTACCGCTTTATTGACCGCCAGAGTCGGCAGGAACTAGTGAACCTCGATGAAAAAAACCTCGGATTTAGCGGATTTTGGAAACATACAGCTCCCAGAAGCTCATCCGAGAATCTGTATAAAATCTTGGCGGTGTGGTGTGGCAGACTGGCAATATGCCAGGCTGAAGCGACCCAAGCTAACAACCAGCTGACTAATTCCTGACTCACCCACTCTGCCCCCGGCGCAACACTTCCGCCGAAGAAAAATAGCTCCTCCCCATTTTCTTCATTTTCTCCCACTTTCCTTTTCGCACAGCTGGAGCTACTTTCTCTCTCTCAGCTTGACTTTAATGCTCGAGTCGCGTGCTATTTCGCCACAATTCGACACTATCACACTACATGATAAACAATAGCTCAGGTATGCATACCAATTTTACCCTGTTTTTTTTCCCTTCAATGCAGCTCCATACCCAAAACCGAGGGGTAGAACCAATCAGCACTTTCACAACCTACACCTATATGATGAGAATTTTTCTATGAACCGGTATATTAGGAAGAGCCGGAAGAGGAATGGCAGGGACCCCTAAAAAATAGGGATGTTCACTGTCGTCGATGCTTATAATGGTTCTGCTGAGTGGTGTTTTCCATGGTTGTGATTTGGTTCTAGTCTGCTCCTCTCGGTTTTGGGTTGGATTTGACTATTTTCGTCCGCTAGATGTGTGACTGCCGATCTGTTGGGTATTTGTGCTAACAGATTTTTCATAGGTTTTCGACGAAGTTTTGGTCGATATTTGAAGTAGTTTAATAGATAGAATACAATTGTCTAGTGTCATGTTGGAAGCTATTGACGGATCGTTTCATAATTTGACATATCTCTATATCGATTTACATTGTATCGAAGCCGTTCGCGAACGTGTAACTCCAGGTATAAAACTTTTCGTAGCCAAACAATCCAAAACAGAGAAATCTCAGGTCTCAACGCCAGTCAGATGCATGTGTAATACAGGTAGGTATATAGTGCTGGCCCACGCGCAATCAGGCAATGCTCATGAACTGCCGCTTCTTGCCCGTGCCCGTCTGCCTCTCCTGTTCCTCGTAAGCGGCTTCGTCGATGTAATCCTTCGTGCTTTGTTCTTGGATCTGTTGGCCGACGAACTGCAGAGCCGACAGGTTGAAGCCCATCTCGTCCTTCTGACGAGCCAGGACCTTGCGCAGTGCGGATCGGATACCGTCCAGCATCGGCCTCATCATCTTGCTAGCGACGATCTGGCGGTGGTGAGTTTTCAGGATGAAGAACAGCACACGGCAGGTAAGGGGGATGTTCCACTCGCGACTAGCCCAGATATTGAGGAACGTGAAGAGAGCAGGCACCTTTGAGAAGGGCAGGACAAGCAGAGCATCTTGAAGCGCAGCTGCAGGAATCTTCTGAACGACGTTCAGGAGATACCGCTCTGCTGAAATGTTGTTCAGAGCCATGTACTGGGCATTGCGCTGTGGGGGTGCAGCGTTAGGCTGTCTGGCCTTGAGAGCGCGCCATTGGCGCATAACCTCCAAGTCCTCCATACCCAGATCCAATGCCTCCATAATCTTTTCACCTGCCATTAATGTCTCCGCAGTTTGTTTACCAGCGTCAACGGCTTCAGCCTTCTCTCCATCCTGGCCATCCTCGTCCTGATCCAGGGACGCCATCAGGTTGTTATCGTACATCTCTTCCAGTTCTTTCTCCCTCTCTTCCTCAAGGAACAAAGGCTCGTCAGTCTGCTCCCAGGTGCGGATGCTCTTGTCATGACTAGCGGTGACGATGAAATCACCCGAGTGACTGATAGTCAGAGCCCAGATTTCACCATGGTGACCGGCCAGCTTCTGGATGTGCTCAAACTTGTCACCGTCCCAGTACTTGATCACTCGATCCTTGCTAGCACTGAAGAAGTTGTGCCCGTTACCATCCTTGTTGTTCGGAACGAAAGCAACAGCCATGACACTGTCCTCGTGGGCCAAGAAGGACTTGTGGCAGTCACCAAAGTCCAAGCCCCAGATACGAACGGTCTTATCGGCCGAACACGTGACGATCAGCTTGCTGTCCCACGAAATATCCATGTTGAGAACAGGCAGCTTGTGGCCATAAAGGTTGAGGAAGAGTTTGAGGGAGTCAACAAAGAAAACCTTGACCGTGTTGTCCAGAAGCGCAACAGCCAGCAGCCGAGCATCAGGGGAGAAGCGAACGTTAAGAATGTCATCCGAAACCTTAAGCGTTCTCGTGTGCACCAGCTTGAGTCGGGGGGTTGTTCTCTTGGTACCCGGGATTTCTTCTTGAACCACCTGGAAGTTCCAGAACTTCGCAGACTTGTCGGCACTACCACTCACCAAAGACTTGCCGTCAGGATGGACTTGAATGGACCAGACCGGCCCGTCGTGCGCTTTGATCGTATCCAGAAGGGTCGATGAGGCGATATCGAAAACCTCAAGCTGGCCATCCTTGTTTCCGACAACAACAATCTTGTCGCCAGGAAGGAAAGCAGAGCACAGAGCATAGCCACATTCAAGAGTACGCAGACAGCTTTGGGTCCGGACGTTCCAGATCTTGAGGCTGCCGTTGGAGGCAGACGCCAGCATCCGATCGTCCGAGCTCAATGCAACAGATCTAATGTCGGTGCGGTGGCCGGGGATGTCGACTGCCAAGTTCCGGCTGTAGTCCGGCTCCTCCTCATCCTTGTTCTTCTTGTTCGCGGTCACAACGCTGTAAGCTTCGAGTTGGTTGTTTGTGGTCGCGGCCAGAAGTTGCAGACTTCCACTTGACTTCGTGCGAATCCAGTCAAAGGACCGGACCTTACCGCCAGTGCGTACAATAGTGTGAGGAACAAAGACTTCCGAGACAGGCGCAGATGAGGCGTCCTCTGATTTCTCAATGGCATCCTCAGCAGCTGCTCCATCCTTGTCAGCTGCGCGCTGCGCGTCCTTCTCCTTTCTCCTCTTGCGCTTCCTAGCCAGACTCTTTTGCACCTCGGTCTGCGAGCGAATGCGCCAAATCTCGACTGCCTTCTCAGATCCGTGGATTCCAATGTAGTCCGCTCGAGGGTGAAAGCTGATTCCGATTGTGCGGTCCTTTCCATTTCGGTAAAACGTGCCCCGGTCCGTCAAGATCTTCTGTCCCTCCGAGCCAACCTTCTCTTTGGAAATGTGAATCATAGCACTCTCATCAATCGACCAGGCCTTCAGTTCTCCATCATTTCCTGCCGTGATACAACCACTCTGGTCGGGCGAGAGACCCAGACTCCAACACTCGCCGTTGGACTGTGCCACATGTGTTTCGATGCAGTGTTGTGCAGCCAAGTCCCATACTTTGATGAGAGCATCCTTTCCAGTCGTCAACAGAAAACCCGCATGCTCACTGAGACCGGCTTCATTGAGCAATTCAATGGACGGGGTAAGAAAATGGAGCGACGTAATCTGATCGGTGTGTCCGCGCAGTTTGAAAAGTCCGACTTCCGCAACCAGATCCCATACAATGATGTCCGTGTCTCTCGAACCACTTGCGAGGCGGACCCCTGTGCTATCGAAGGCAAGCTGAGTGATGGCGGACTTGTGGCCATTGAAGGAGATAATCACCGTCTCGGTCCGTGAATCCCAGATACGAATACTGCCGTCTTCATAACTATATCACAAAGCGACGCCCGAATTAGTAAGGTAGCATACAAAAATCCTACCACGGTGAGAAAACTTACCCGACCGCAAAAATATCCTCATCCGTTTTGCTCTGCGTGATTATCGTGACCTGTGCCTTGCAAGACGTATCGTGCCATCTGCCCAGTAGTTCACCCTTCTTAATGTCCCAACAGAGAACTTCCTCGCTCGCGCCCACGAAGGCTCGCCCAGAGCCTGTTCGACGTGCGGAACCCGCGAGTTCATCGTCCCGGGCCCAGATCGCATTCGACGAGCCCGACGCAATGAGCCCGAAAGTCTTCGAATGCTCGAATTTACTGAAGAAGTCAGTACACAGAAAATACTTTCGGGGAAAAAATGCTACACCCTTGAGTGCCTCACTTACAAATATGACTTCACCATCGTTGGGTGTTTGCGACCTGGGAAAAATTTTGGGAGCTCGGAGAATGAATGCTATCGATAGGCGCAAATGGCGGCGGTCGCTACGGAGAGCGACAGCGACCAATGCCGGCCTCCCCCACCGCCTGCCGGTTCCCCAAAGCCCCCATCAACGTAACTCCCATCGTGGCAGTGACCCTCGTGGGATTGAAAGCCAGAATTAAAGGAAAGGGAATCGCAGGCCGAGAATTTGAATCTATTACTCATTATCATTGGATGCGTCCATCAACATGCTTTTGCTAGACTACCACAACGTCCTCATCCACTCCCTCCTGACGGAGCGGTTCTCTGGGTACAGCTTCCCCCCCGCCTCCGGTATACGCCAGGCTACCAGCTAACAGCTCCATTCATGCTTCCTTCAGAGCCCCGCCCGTGTCAATCGACCAGATTGTTTCCGACTTTGACGGAGTGACCTTCCATCTGTCTACGCCAGAATCCAAAACCAAGATCCTCATCTCCATCAACGTGAAATGCTTCCGGGAGCTTGTCCAGTACGGTGCCCAGGAGGTGCTGGAAAGGGAATACGGCCCCTACATTGTCACCCCGGAGCCCGGCTATGACTTCTCCGTCCTGATCGATCTAGAGAATCTGCCCGCCGAGCAGGAGGCGAAGGATGAACTCATCATGCGCCTGGCGCTGATGAAGCGCAACGCCATGGCCGCCCCCTTCGAGAGAGCATTCGATGAGTTCGCTAAGCTGGCCGAAGAGGCTTCGAGATACACGAGCGAGACTGCGCCCCAGGGAGTTGAGGAAGGAGGAGAGGTTATGGCCATTCACTATCGAGAGGAGGAAGCGATTTACATTAAAGCCAGCCATGATCGTGTCACGGTGATCTTCAGCACAGTGTTCCGGGAGGAGACAGATCGCATCTTTGGCAAGGTGTTCCTGCAGGAATTCGTCGATGCCAGACGCCGTGTCCTTACCCTGCAGAATGCCCCTCAAGTACTCTTCCGAAACGACTGTCCCCTGGAGCTGGCTGGTGTGCCTGGCATCCAGAACGGTAACGACGGTAGTATCAGCTATGTCACTTTCGGTATGTATTCGGGGATATGCATCACCCACCCGTTAGCTGTCACTAACCGCTCATAGTCCTGTTCCCTCGCCACCTGACCCCACAGCGACGCTATGAGAACATTTCCCACATCCAGATTTTCCGTGATTACTTCCATTACCACATCAAAGCATCTAAGGTAGCTTTCCCTGTCATTTTTGCAGGCCAGGTCAACATGCTTACTTAGAATCCAGGCATACATTCACACTAGGATGCGCAAGAGGACCGCGGACTTCCTCCAAGGTAAGAGTGGACCCCCAACAATGAAGATATGTCCAGGTCACTAATGAATGATAGTTCTCAACCGGGCGCGGCCCGAGAACGAGGAGCGAGAAAGGAAGACGGCCAGTGGCCGTACTTTCAGGGTTCAGGGATAGAGAGCTGGCTCAAGAATATAATCTTTGTAAATTGCAGGCGAGGGGTGACATACGCACATGCATAAGTTGATTTTATTTTTCCCTAGGATGTATAGGTTGTCGAGCATCATAAGTATTTTTTTTTCTTTTCTTTTCTCTTGATTTCGTTACTTTTTATTATATTTATCCTCGCTACCTCGCAATGCCGAATGCATGACAGCTGCATGTGGCTTGAAGTAGTAGTGCGGCTGCCTTGCTTTGTTTTATTTGCTGCAATATAGCACTACTAACCAACCCATAAATACCGCCGGCTGCTGCTTCAGCTCTCAGCTCCCTCCCGTCCCTCTCTTCCCTGTTACGAATGCTCGACAAGCTGCAGCAGAGCTGCAAACACCTGAAAATGAGCGCTTTGAGGGAGCCTCCTTAATCTCCACTACGATGTTTCAATTTCCCCATCTGTCACGAGGTATTTTCCACTCTAACCTCAAACTCCGTCCTGCACGTTAAGCACACTGGCGTGGGTCTAGTTACTGCGCTATTCCGCTATGGCCGACGAACACTCGCGCAGGATGCACTGGTTCGGATTCGAGCCTCAGATCGGCCGAAGCACTCCGATATGTTACCGTGGCTGTCTTCTAGCTGCAGCCACAAGTCCAGCTGGGTGAAAAGCAAACAGATGACCAGATTTAAGCGTGTGAACCATCCGAACCGCCCTATCGATGCATCTGATCGCCAAATATGACTCGGATCGCCCAACAGGTGGCCTACAATTGGGCAAGAAGTCCCAGGGGATCGGTTCGGTGTCACACATTGACTGCAAGGAGATTAAACTGGTGTTGACTGATGGCCAGGATTCGTGGGGGTGGTCGCTATCTTGCCAGCCTCGATCGGAGAAACGGGGTGCTGTGGTGATGATGTGATCTCAGCTCTCATCTATCCTACGATGATCGTCTCCGGTATTTCCGCAGGTTTTTATTCGACACCGTTGAGTATCTGCCTAATTGATGGCTGGCTGGAGGGGGTTAGGGAGATGTGGTCGGCTCGGCGTGCTATCCTCTATATTGGGTCTATCTATCATACGGGGTACATGCCGATAACCGCTTCCTGCGACCTTAGTGGGATTACCGCATATTTTCTCTTGCAAACCGACACCAGGGATTCACGCTGCATTGGCGTCCCCATTAAATGCGCAATGGCCAGAAACGGGCAACGCTGACCCCAATCCGTACGTTTTTCCGGATATCAGCTCCTCTAGTTCATTCTAGGCACGAGCAGTGAAGGATCGCCTGTGACACTAGACACCCGCTCCGTTCAAGCTGTACAGCGGGTGTAGTTTAGTCTAACCTGCACTAACAAATGAGAAACACCGCGACGGGTCGCGACAGAAAGCATGCGCCACCGGATTTCCAGCTCCACGGTGAGGTGCACACATGTTGGACATGAGCCACGTCCTATCCCAAGCAGGTCATGCATGGTTTTTGTATGCCCAGCACTATCTAGCCGATAGTGCGCTGTAGAAGAGGGCGGCCATTCGCCTGGATCATGCCAGGTCAGCCGTCTAGTTGGTTAAGTGGATTTTCTAGTGGAAGCCGTCTATATCGAACTTGTTCCCACCGGACTAAAATGTGACAGCAATAGTTAGAGCCCGAGTAAATTCTTTTTGATTTTTCTGACCGCAACCCAATGGCGACACTTGTTCGTGGCTATTCGCTTTTCGCTTACGTTTCCCCTTTCTTCTATTTGATGCGAAATATCACTGAGGTTTTAAGTAGAGCATCCTCACTCGCTACTTCGTTCCAACCGAGAATGTGACCATCTCTTCGGCTAGAGGAGCCAGTGTCGACGGTGAGAACTACTAAAACTGTCGGGGTGACCCCGCCTGCAAGGTATCCCTGCCAGGGCGCAGCTTAGCCCTCCAGAGCGTCGCAACCCTGCATGCTATATATCGCAACGCTTCTGCTCCAGCGCAAAAAAAAACTAGATGTGATCCGCATCAATATCTGCCACAGTTCTACTCTACGCAATCAATCGCTGCACTTCTCCTGCATTTCTCTCCCTTCCATCGCCAATAAACAGTTCCCTAGACCAACCAAGCCAATATAACGGCCAAAAATTCAAAGTTGACAACAGGGGAATCAGCTTCTGTCATCGTTTTGACTGAGTCTTTCCATATTTATACCTTTCTCCGCTCATTGTAGCTTACTCCCGCTTTATCCACCCCCTGGGCCGACCATGTTGAGGGGACCTTGAACTGCGGACAAACGGAGTGGGCGACCAGGCAGCGCTTAAAGTACGGACGACAACATATTACTAGCAGGCAGAGGATCTTGTGGGAGGGTTAAAACGTTTCTAGCCAGGTTTCACAAAATGTCCGACAAGATTAGTTTATTACCCTTGGAGCTCATCCTTCACATACTCTCCTACCTTCCCTTCGAGTCCTTGCTTGCCTTCGGCGAAACATCTCGCGCCAACTATGAGTCCCATACTCTCTGCCTTGAATGTCTACGACTAGGAATTTTCGAGAAGCGCATTCACTCTGTGATATCCTTACTCCAGGCTGGCTGGACCACGCCGGATCAAATGGCACAGATTTCCGGTCACAACAAACAAGCGAATGACTACACAATATCCATCATCCAACCTGCCATGAGCCGCCTGGCGAGCGACTTGGACAGCAAGCCTCTACTGAAAATGAAAAGCTTGAAAAGACGGTGCCCTGCACTACTTGAGAAATCCCGAACATTGGAGCAGATGATTAGGGAGCAGAACAGGGTTTTTGCCCAAGTGGTGAATCGGTATGGCCGAGGACTTAGGAAACTGGAGTTTATGGCGTATGATCTTGACAGCGAGGGTGCCATGGCTCTAGCCTCCAAATGCCAAAACATATTGCATCATCTAGCATTACGCTTTGAGCATCCACACATTCGGGACGGCCCCATCAGACCCAGCACTTGGCTGAATCCTGCCCCGGGAAGTACGGCATGGAATATGTTCCTCGGTATAGGACGGTATCCCCAATATGGTCTTTGCGGGCTACAGACGTTGATCCTAGAGCGGGCGGGCATCACGCCGTGGCAGTTGACCATGCTTGTGAAGAAAAATCCCAAGCTAACTGTTCTCAAACTGAGAACATGTCGCGGTGCACAGCCTGAGTTTTTGAACTGGCTAGGTGGAGTTTCCTACGAGCCAGAAGAGCGAGATATGGATGATAACAGTCTAGCTCCTGGTCGGAAGCTCAAAGTGCTCTGGTTGGAAAACTGCCACCAGGTACTTGCCCATCCCATCGAAGACTATGAACATCTGCCCAACGAATTTTGCGACTTTGGCCTTGAATGGGTCAGAGGTCTGACCAGCTTGCGTGTAAGTGGAATTATGTTCTGAGACGCCTTCATTCAATAAGCTGACAGGATAATCTTGACAGTCTCTATCTTTCAGCGAGAGCATGAATATCCCTCCCGAATACATTGACAGGGCCAATAGTGTCCTTTGGAAGATACCAGAAGTCATCTTGCCTTATTCTGGCCAGGGGGACAAGGCCCCTATTGAAGTCGATCCTGGGTTATTGTAATTTACAATGCTTTTTTATGTTTATTGTTCTTATCTTTTTCTTGTTCTCTAGGGGAGGCTTTTTGTTGTTTCGTCTTTCCGGTGACTGAAGGGGATTCTTCGGTTATGTTTACTTTGTTTTGGGAGATAGACTTTCTGTGCAAACACCTGCAATTCTGTGCTACAGCTACAAGACAATATAAATCAAAATATGACAACACATCATGCACATGATTAGGCAATGTTAGTAGACGTGTATCATACGGGTCTGATTGTATCGTGTTTCACAGGCAACTTCAAGCACCTTACGGAAGTACTTGCGGGTGGCACAGCATAACTTCTATATACCTCAAGTAGGTGATCACAACTTACAAAGTGGAAACAACAGAGAGACCTGGCTAGGCTTTCACCAGTACTTAGATGAACAGGTCCACTTCCCTCTCAAGTAGTAGCAACTGCTTATCTGCCCAAGTCATAAGTAACAGTGAGGATGAAATGGTTGCAGAGCAGGTACTGCTCTGGCTGTTGACCCCGTGAGCGCCTTCTCGTTTTCTCTCCCAGCATCAATCTGGCCAACCCACAATAAACTCCTCACCCTGTGTAGTGTTAACATCCAGCATGACCATTCACTGTCTTCTCTACCTATCAAGCAGGCACGGGTATACTCTTGCGAATGATTGAAAGTTACCATTAACCTTCTCATCTCGTCTCTCATCGGCGGTCTTACCACTCATACGGAGCTTGATACCCGCCGTACTGTGACATTCATGGGATCATCTTGCAAAGCGAGCAAAATGGTACCGAGTCACAGATCCGCTTCCCAGCTATGGGCTATTGCTCGGCGGAAGCTCTTCACTCGGCGAGAACCCAGGAGCAGCGAGCATGATTCCCCACAACACCGTTTCTTCAATTCTGTTTCCTCTTCTTCCTTCAGCGAGCACACTGACGGCTTCTACAAGTACTCGTTGGAAGTTCTACAACAGAGTGACGAAGAATACAGAGATACGGTGGAGAGCATGGGACTGCGGTCTTCGGACAGCACAGGGATGTCGTACACGTCAGCTGTATGTTGGCTTTGGCATCTTGACGTAAATCTGTCCCCCTTTCTGGCTGGAAACTGACATCAATTTGACAGCGAACGGCCCCTGCCGAATTTCCTTTCTCGCCTTACGCTGTCGGTGCTGTCGAATGGAATACTGTCACGGGGTATCTCAAGAATCTGGATGATGCGCAGGGCTATGATGTTTCGTCCTGGAGAAACAGTGTGCTGGCTGTATACGTGAAGGTGTACACCGTCGCTAAAGTGGTCTTCATGTGCTTCATCCACTATTGCGTTGAAGTAAGGAGATTATAAGCCCAAAGTCCGGCACAGAAAGAAGCCGCTAACCATTTGGTGTATCTGTTTCTAGCTGGATGGATTTCAGGGCGGCCTAATGGTTTGCATCAGGGACGCAGAAGATGCCATCGCGTCCAAAAAGATCGCTCCCTTGGTTGAATGCGTTGAGAAGTTGTACCACGCCCTTTACGCGAGGCTTATGATGGAGCTTGTCATGGTCGACCTATGCTCTTGCTTCAGTATCGAGGTAACACGCGTTTCTTCGCATAACAACTTCATGCTCCCTGAGCCACGCCACTTGTACAACATATTCTTGACTTGCAAGCAGATCCTCGACAGCCCGACTGTCTGCAATATCTTTAACAAAGAATCTGTTCGGAACTATCAGGCTACTTTAGTCCACCGCGCTGTGACAAAGGTCAACAGCATGCCGTTCGCCTTGGACGATCTCATCGGATATCGGAGATTTACCCTTGGGATTATCGACAATCCGGATTCTTCATTTCGCCAGAAGTGGGCTGGGAGTGCCCTGATTTACCATATGCCACCGCCAAAGGTCCTTATCATTCATTCTGAGAGATACATGTCCTTCACACCGAGAAACACTTATCAGTTTATGATCCCCCAGCAGCCCCTCCCTTTCATTCAGCGGCACAATGTCGACCCAGCATTCACGGAAAGCGCACGTACTTCGGATCACCGGCAGGCCGCGCTAGCCATGCTTGAAGGCAAGACTGTGGGTGTTCTCCGCAACCAGGGCACCATGCAACAGCTGATCGAATACGCCAAACGGAGAAAGTGTGTGTGCCAATCGGCCTGCAGTTGCGGCCAGGATTGTACCCAGGATCCGGACCGTCTCTGCCCCTGCGCGGAGTGGAATATGATCCTGTTACTGACTCAGGTTAACGCAAACCGTGGGACTCTTGGAATTCGCGACCGGTGCACGGTTCTTTCGAAGGCTGTGTTCCAAGAGCTTTCATCCATCCGGGAAGATGTTGACGTCTTTGTGATCGGATTGGCCCTGAACCGGGCTGTTAGGATCTTCGGCGAAGAGATGCAGAAAGAATTGTTTGCCGGCATCATTTAGACCCAAAAGACTGCAGTTGAGTAGCTGGTCTGGTTTTTTACTGGCGTTGGGTGGCATGATGAGTGCGTTGAGGCATTCATGGAGTGAGGGGTGTAATTGCTTTTTCTTTCTTTGCTGAGATTACGTTGATTTTCCTTGGTCTTTTCCCCTTCTGAGTAGACATGCCTGACGATCATCATATTCCGGAGATCTCGTATCTGTGCAACGAAAAGTGTTGGGAAATGTGAGTGGTTCCGAAGGAAAGTGAGCATCATGTCCGATCAGTGGGATGGTTCATCGATGAGGTAGGTATACATCTACATGGTTTACGTAGGAGAGGGAACGGACAGTATTTAATCAAAGAAATTGAACATGCAACCTAGGGGTATGAAAAAGTAAAGGGATAAGATAAATATGGGCCGTCTGCAAGCCAATACTAGCTCGTGTTACCTGGCAGTATGGTTGCGTCGGTGTGTGGGGGTGATGTCAAATTGTATGGGGAAGAGAAGGAAGGGGAGATGGGGTGGTAGTGAATGGAATGTAATTTTCTAAGAATACGTAGCTCATAATTCCAATTCAAGCTCAAGTTTAAGCTCAAGCTTCTCCTGTCATTTTCTCAACAACTTTTGTCGACCAAAAAAGTCAGGTGGGGCGCAGGTGACCGGGGATGGGGCAAAGTTGGTCAGAAAAGTTGGCCGTGGTTCGCAAGTCGGCAAGATTTTCATTTTGGCTCTGGCCAAAATCCAGCTTCCCGAGAAAAAAAAAGAGTCTGTCTGTATCTGCGCTTGTCTGGGATTCCCGCCCGGCACAGCAATCTCTGGGAAACTTTTAGCGGGCATGGTGCCCAAGACTCTTGTTGTTAGTTCGACAGGTTGTTTATCATTCTTCTCCTCAATTACTCCTCCTCTCGCTTCGCCGGTAGTAATTAGACGCAGCCCACTGTGGAGCGCTCATTCCGGGGCCCCCAGCAGCATCTGGGTGCGACGATATCGCGCCGTCTGGCCTTCCTACGGCATCACCACCCCCATCCCGGATCCTAATCCACAGTTCCCCATCTCCCGCTCGCCTTTCTGCTTCCAGACAGGCTATGCGCTCTGCGCCAAACGGCCCTCGCGTCCCTTCCCCCCACCGTTCCTGTCTCCGCCCTCTTCCTCCTTTTCCGACCCGCTGACCACCCACTACCTGAGCCAGGATAAGAGATTATCCGTCCGGGGGGATCTGGTCCGCGGCCTGAACAACGGCGACGATGCTGTTTTAGTGGCGGAGAATTACCTCGCCGTGAACGATGGGGTCGGGGCGTGGGCAACCAAGCCGAGAGGTCATGCTGCGTACGTTGTTCTGTCCCTCTGTACTAGTCTTCCGCGGACCCCTACTACTGACCCCAACTGGATCCCCCGTCTCGTTCCCCTTCCCGCGTGCTGACTTGCCCTTTCTTGTTGATATAGGCTTTGGTCTAGACTGCTCCTCCATTACTGGGCCCTGGAACTTGAACGAGAACCCAATGGTCAGTCCGAGTTAGATCCTATCGGCTATCTCCAACGCGCATACGAGGAAACCATTCGAGCAACGACTTCCCCAGGTGAATGGCTGGGAACTACCACATCGGTCACAGCAATACTGCATTGGAAGCGCGATGCTGCTACGGGAAGCATACGGCCCTTGCTCTACGTGACTAATATAGGGGACTGCAAGATCTTTGTCATCCGGCCTAGCGAGAAGAGAATCCTCTTTCGGACCAAGGAACAATGGCATTGGTTCGACTGTCCTATGCAGCTGGGCACCAACAGCGTCGATACTCCCCAGAAGGATGCAGTCCTTTCCTTGATTGATGTGCAGGAGGATGACCTCGTGGTGGCCGTGTCAGATGGTATCGTGGACAATCTGTGGGAGCATGAGATCCTGACGATCGTCCTGGATAGTCTGGAGAAGTGGCAGCAAGGACGTCATGAAGACAAGGACTCGGAGTGGGCACCTCCGGCTGTGATGGCGGACGAGCAGATGGTGTTTATAGCGAGGGAGCTGCTCAAATCTGCTCTGGAAATTGCTCAGGATCCCTTTGCGGAGAGTCCGTACATGGAGAAGGCGGTGGATGAAGGACTGGCCGTGCAGGGTGGTGAGTGTCTTCGCATACCGTTTCAGTGAAGTAGACTAATCTTGATGCAGGGAAAATGGACGATATCAGTGTGGTAATCGGCTCTTGCAGGAGGAGGACGTAATCGACCCCATCTACCCGGTGACCTGCACGCAGGCAGTGGGTTAGGGTTGAAGCAGGGATTACACATTTCATGTCAGCACGGAGTTGACTTGCACAGCGTTACATACTTTGACTTCCGCACAAACCTACGTCTGGAGGTTTGTGACAGAGGGCGATCGACAAGATAGCAGATGTCCGAATCAACTTGGGCTCGGCCGTCGGACAATCGCTTGATTACATTGCATACGCACTATATGTGCATGGCATGGGTGGTGTATATGTTGCATGTTGGAATCTGGGGCCCTTTCAGGGCCGGTTCAAAGGGGTGGTACTGGCGTTTGTGGGACATTTGACGTTTCGGGCTATATATATTCTACTGGCACAGCGACATAGACTATTGCTTCTAATCACTGCATAAATACCCGTGACATATTCTGCCAATCCATCAAACTTTCTTTTTGAGGCAAAAAGTAAACATGTACCGTCTCCCACACACACCCTAATCAGTACATGGCCAACCGAAATTTCTTTCCCCATACACGCACACTACATATATACAACTACACCAACTATCTCTCCCCTTCACAACCAACAACAAAAACAAAAGAGAAAAGAAATTGCCTCCACGCGGGATCGAACCGCGGACCTCATCATTACTAGTGATGCGCTCTACCACTGAGCCATAGAGGCGATTTGAATGAAAGATGGCCCCATAATTGACTCCATCAACGGCCGCTTAGCCAGCCCACGCACAGACCAACATCCCGAGCTCTCTCCTCCGCCCGGCAAAAAAAAGTGACCGCCGCAGCAAAGAAAAAAAAGTCCAATTGCACCAACCCCAAATCCCATCACAGGTTATACATACTACATATTAACGCACCTCAGACGACCAGACAGTCAAGATGAGGGCCAAGCGATCCAAGAAGTACCGCAAGCTCATGCACCAGTATGAGCTTACGTTCGGGTTCCGTGAGCCGTATCAGGTTCTGGGTATGCAGACATCCATCTATCTATCCATTTATACTATCATGTCAAGGATCAGAGTATACTGACTAGAAAATGTGACAGTTGACTCCAATTTCCTCCGCGCCGTTCACTCTTTCAAAATGGACTTGATCCCCGCTCTGGAGCGCACTCTTCAAGGCAAACCCAAGCCTCGTATGTTGCCCCGGATCTCAGCCATCAACTGCAATGAATATTAGATCTAACCCAATGGTGTAGTCCTCACAAAATGCTCCCTCGCCGCAATAATGGCCTCCCAACCCATCAACCCCAAAACCAACAACCCCTACCGCCCCGAGCACCTCCCCCCACCCACCACTCTCCCTCTCCGCCACTGCTCCCACAACGCCGACTCGACCCCCATCGACGAAGTCGAGTGCCTGCTCTCCCTCCTTTCCCCCTCCGCCGAGAGCAAAAAGAACAAGGAACATTACATCCTCGCGACGGCGGACCCGCACAACGCCAAGGACAAGTCCGCGACGGACAACTCGGCCGCGGGACGGAAACGCAAGCGCGACGCAGAGGATAAGGCCGAGGCGGCGCTTCGGAAGTCGAGGTTGCTGCGGCGTCAGGCTCGGTCGATTCCGGGTGTGCCGATTGTGTATGTGAAGCGGTCGGTGATGGTGTTGGAGCCGATGAGTGATCCGTCGGATGCGATTAGGGAAGGTGTGGAGAAGGGGAAGTTTAGGGTTGGGTTGAATGATGAGGCGAAGAAGAAGACGACGACGGCTGGGGATGAGGAGAAGACGAAGAAGAAGAGGGATTTGAAGAAGCCCAAGGGCCCGAATCCGTTGAGTGTGAAGAAACCGAAGAAGAGGGCGCCCGAGGGTACCACTGCCGGGAAGACGGAGAAGCCGAAGAGAGAGGCGGAGGAGAGACCTGCTGCGGAGGACAGAGAGGGCGAGGAAGGTGATGCTGCGCCGAAGGCGAAGCGCAGACGTCGTCATCATAAGGGCGGTGCTGGAAAGATAGAGGGTGATGGTGAGGGTGGTGCGGAAGCTGTTGCTGCTGCTGGTGCGCCGGCTGATGCCATGGATGATTGATTGCTTTGCTAAGGTGCTACTTTTCTTTTTGATCTGAACTCATGGTACGGCGTTTCGGCGGACGAGATCAAAAAAGTGTCCATATGAATTGTGTATAGGTAGTTATCATCGATATTGATAGACGATTCCAACATCCAACATACCCATCCCAGCACAACATGAACATACCCCCACCCCCAAAGAAGCAGCATAAGAAGAGAGAATGATATGATAATAATAATATAATATAATCCCAAACGCCAATCAAAATAAGCAACCCACATGCACCCAGCCAGCCCATCAGACACAATACATCAATCATATCATACACACCACCAGTACCACTACCAGCATCCCCCACCCAATCCCATCAACCAAGCGCAAAATTACAAGATTTATTTCTCCGCCGAGCTCGAGCCCGAAGAAGCAGAAGCAGAAGAAGCCAACGAAGAAATTGACCCCGTCTCCGCAAGCGCCTTCTCCTCAGCCCAAATACGCTCGATCTTCTTGCGCTTCTCTTTTGCCTCATCCCGGTTGCGCTTTGCGCGCGCATACCGCTCCGCCGCTAGACATTTGTTCACGTCGCGCTTGACATCGTTGCATCCACCCAGGGCTTTGTGGATGAAGCCTCGTGCGTGGCATTCGTCGAGGGCGGTCATGATTTCTTCGCAGTCTGTAGAGGGGGGGGAAAGTTAGTTTCGGTGCTTGGTGTGGTGTGGTATGATGTGATCTGATGTTGATGGTGGAGAGATTGGGGGAGGGGGAGAGGTAACGTACTTGCGTTGTAGGGGGTGTGAAGGTGGGAATGCATCTTGACTGTTGTTTTAACGGTATCGTATGTTGGATTTAAAATGTATGGAAATATCAATTGAGATTCTATAAGTCAATCGATCCTAACTGCATTAATGATCCATATATGGAAATGGGAAGGATTTCTTTCCGTAAAAGCCGGGCGGTGAAGGACTTATCGGGTATTATTCTGCCGGGCGGGGGAAAAGAAAAAAATTATTCTTTTTTTTTTCTTCTTTAGTTTCAACTAATTGCGGTTGTCGACGGGGAATTTCTTCTGTTGGCATTTAATGTTCTATTTGGACCATTGTGAGGAATTTGTGGGTTCCTCTTTTTTGTGTCTTATATCCTTGTCCGAGTTTGCTCCTGTATAGGTTGAGCAAATTGCCTACGGCAGGATCTCCACAATCCTTCTATTTTTTCTTTTCTATTCACGATTGATTGCTTCTCACGATGTCTATGATTACCACTTCTGCTTGGGTGCGGCGCGGAGTCGCTGCCCAGTTCCCTACGAAATATGAGATCAACGAGGAGGAAATGGATCGTATATCGAAGCTTGCGCGCATGCAGCTTGAAGAGGCGCAGGGTGATTTGAAGGCTGCGCAGGAGGATGAGGAGATGGAGGAGGATAAGAAGGAAGGTGCGGATGATGCTATGGAGGATGACTCTAAGGAGGAGGAGAAGGATGAGAAGAAGGATGGTGCTGCGGAGTGAGTTTTCCTGTTGTATACCATTGGGTTGGATTTGCGTTACGGAATGATGGACAGGGACAAATGCTAACATTTGATGATGAAAGTGACGATGACGACCTGAAGGAATACGATCTGGATCACTACGACAGCGACGAGGTTGACGAGGACGGCGAAAAGATCACCATGTTCGGCAATGTCAAGTCTCTCGCCTATCACCAGCCGAACGAGGAGGACCCGTACCTGGTTATGCCGCCGGAGGAGGAAGATGAGGAGAGAGAGGAACTGCAGATTATGCCGACGGATAACCTGCTGCTGGCGGGTAAGGTTGAGGACGAGGTTGCTCACCTGGAGGTCTACGTCTACGAGGATGCCGCCGATAACCTCTACGTCCACCACGATATCATGCTTCCCGCTATCCCGTTGGCGTTGGAGTGGTTGGATATCCCCGTTGGCAAGACGGCCGAGGGCCGCACTACCGGCAACTTTGTGGCTATCGGAACAATGGAGCCTGACATTGAGATCTGGGATCTCGATGTCGTCGACAGCATGTACCCCAACGCGATCCTGGGACAGGGCGGTGCTGATGCCGAGAACGGCGCGAAGAAGTCCAAGAAGAAGAAGGCCAAGGCCAACGACGAATACCACATCGACTCGATCCTCGCTCTGGCTGCCAACCGCCAGCACCGCAACCTCCTGGCCTCTGGATCTGCCGATCGCACCGTGAAGCTCTGGGATCTCCAGACCACCAAGTGCGCCAAGTCCTACTCCCACCACACCGACAAGGTGTGCGCGCTTGAATGGCACCCGACCGAGTCTACCGTCCTGCTGAGCGGTAGTTACGACCGCACCGTGGTCGCAGCGGATATGAGAGCCCCCGACTCCAAGGCCCGCTGGGGCGTGGATGCCGATGTCGAGAACGTGCGCTGGGATAAGCACGACCCCAACTACTTCTACGTGACGACAGATGCCGGTATGGTGTACCGCTACGATGTGCGCAACATTCCCGCCTCGCCCAAGGAGTCCAAGCCCGTGTGGACGCTGCAGGCGCACGACTCATCGGTGTCGTCGTTCGACGTCAACCCGACCGTGCCGGGCTACCTGGTGACCGGATCAACGGACAAGTCCGTGAAGCTCTGGAACGTTGAGAACGACAAGCCCAGCATGGTGGTGTCTCGCAAGTTGGAAGTGGGCAAGATCTTCTCGACCACTTTCGCACCGGATGCTGATGTGAGCTTCCGCCTGGCCGTGGCGGGCAGCAAGGGCGTGGTCCAGATCTGGGACACCTCCACCAACGCGGCGGTGCGTCGGGCGTTCGTCTCGCGGATGCCTTCCCTGGAGGGAGAGGTGCAGGAACGTCTGGTCGGTATTCAGCCCGATCAGGATGAGTCGGATGAGGAGGAAGGCGTGCAGGAGGTTGGAGCGGCGCAAGGTGCGGATGGCTGGGAGTCGATGGATGAGGATTGAGTAGATGCAATGCAACAAACGAGAAGAAGAAGCTTAAATTTGGACGCCTTCAGCCTGGATGACCGCAACAACAAAAAATGGAAAGTAAAAAGAATGGATCTACGGGAGTTCTACTACTTATAGATAGATATTTTGAGAGTACCTCTTTTGCAATGAAAACGTTGTGATACCCCAATGACAGTTCACCTGACTAGTACGGATCAAGTCAGTTAATTTAGATGTGGTTGACGAGAACGGACGGAATGAAGTCGGTCGATGAATAAGCTGGAAGCGATGAAAGTGAGTGATTGATGAACAAATGAAAATGATCGACCGACAAAATACCCAAACCAGATATCGTCTGATACGATCTCGAACACCAATCACATGCTCAGGATGAGGCGAGTGGACGGGTCCGGTGATTGCATTTTTTCAATTAGAGCAAGCATCATTCTCGTCTGCAAGGCCTAAAGTAGATGGAGGGATGTCTGGTAGTAGATGAGGATGGTCGTGGTGAAGAATTCTAATCTGCATCGTACATTTGTTGCTGGAGTAAGTCGTCGTGGAAACTTCATCCGAAATGTAGTAATTTGGTAGCAATGGGGTCCGGGGGTCGAGTTAGGTATTGGCGTGCGGTACGGAGTAAGGTGCTTACATACTATTATGTAGATGGTCACTTTACTTTTATTGAATAGTAGTAGAGACTAATGAGTTTAATGTTGATTCCTCCTCCTAGTAATAAAAATAGCGAAATAAAATAGAGAAGCAGAAGCTCATCGCACAGCATACCTAGAAAGCATACTCCTCATAAAAGACCATCGAGGCGAAAAAGCACAGGTCAAGTGTACAAGTGTATAAGCGGGTGGAAAACCACCGCCCAGTTTATTAAGTTGACCCACAGGTGGGGAAACAAGCGAAAAAGAAAAAAAAGAGGCACTCGGTGGTTTGACCCGCCCGGCATCTCCGTCTGGTCTTAGTTTTTAGTTTAGTGTGGTGGTACGTACAGCTCCATTGTTCAGAAAGGAACCCTCATGGAACGGATCGCGGATTCTATCCGACAGGCACGGTACCTACATTAGAGAGGGTCCCAAGTATGTAGGGTAGGTAAGTAGGAGATTAAGCCTGTCTTTCAAGGACGGACGTGATGTATGTAGGAGAACCACTCACACTATCCTTCCCCCTTCCTTTCGACGTCATGTCCGGCTTGTTTAGTTGCATGGATGCAACTTCCCTCCTCCCCCTTCAGCTGAGACGGCAGATTGTTTCAATTCCCCACCGCTCAGGGCACATGGCGGTTTCCAATGGCCAGCCGCGATGCCGTTCCTGGCGTCAAGCCGACACCACTTGGCCTTAGTGGGTGTAGCCTCGGTGGTGCTGCCGTTTGACGACGCCCACTTGGGTTTAGTCTGTGTATCATTTTTCCTATCGTTTATTTGAGCTCGGTCGGCTTTTAATCTAGACTAGACGGTCTATACTATCTACGGAGTAGATATCTGGAGGGGATACTCGGGAGAGTCCCGCCCTATCAAGGGCTCTCTTTTTTTCAAGGTACGTTGAATAGTTACTATGTAGGAGGGAGGGGGGATGGAATTTTAAATCTTTTAACCTCCTGAAATCCAATACGCCAAACACGCGCCGGGATGAAGCTTTGGGTCGGTCCCTGAATTTCCTTTATTGTTTTTGTTGGTGGCCACCCGACAAAAGCAAATGACCGGGGGAAGATGGTCAAGGCTGTCCTGTCCGTCCGACCACCGAATCGAATCGCACGACTAGCCGCGCCTGACTGCCCTGCTTGTCTCCGTCGGAGCACCGGAGAAAAAAAAAGATGTGGGAGGAGAGGACAGGAAGCATAAGGACTCCGTAGTTCGTTGTTATTATTATGCTGGCTGTTTCGCTTGTTTCTTTGCTGCGTAGCCCCGTAGAATGCGTATCCATGGTTGACATTTGGCGAACAGGTGGTTCTCGACCATCGCCCGCATCATTACAAGGCGCCAGGCGAACCGTTGGAGAAAATACCGAAGGCAAAGTTTTTCCACTTTCCATAACTCTATCCCACTCTTCCAGTTGGTCGGCTAAAGACCCTGGCGAACGAGTCGCGACTCAAGGATCCGATCCAAGGGTTTTTGACTGGGTCGCTGAGAAAAGAGCGCAGTCGAATCAGGGCTTGCTATTAGCCCTTTTCTGCGTGCTTAAATTCATCATCTTGGATTTTAGTACCCACTCAGAGGACTGGAAAGAGAGAAAGAGACCTGAGAGGAAGCCTGAGAAAAGAGTAAAGTAGAGAAAAAGAGGGGGT